CCCAAGTGCCCAACTTGATCTGGCGCCACACCTGCCACTGTCACTGGCTCAATCACATTTGTCTGCCTCATAGCTTTACAGGGGCCTGTTTCAGTCAGTGAAATTTTGGCCCAAACAGAATCAAGGACCGCAGCATCGGTTAGACCTTCACTACACATAATAGAGTTTGTATCACTGATATTATAAAATTTTTCTCGATGGTGATAAAGTTTATAAAGAAGTGGAAAGTCATACGAAAGGATCCTTTCTTTCAGAAGTGTGTCCCGCACGATGGACTCCAGAAATGGCATGCGTTCCTCACGAGGGGGATCGTACTGTAGTTCAATATAGAGGCCAGTGGAATTCGTCTGAAGGAGTGCTGAACGCACAGCGTCCCCAGCTAAAGGGCCCAAACAATTCTTGATATCTTTCTTTAGGCAATCGATGATGACCATCGGGACCCTCGTCTGAAGCTGTCCCCATTCGCAGCCCTTCAAATGCACCACAAGCACCGCTGTCAACGTGTGCAGCTTTCTTGTGACAAGTGGTTCAGAGGTGGCGATAGGAATTTTCGATCGCTTGTGTCGGGGCGCAGACGACTCCAATGGTTCGTGAGGTTGACTTTCAGCATGCCTCGCAGGGGGATGAGGTGGCCGCGTCTGTCCTTGGGCTTGTGAAATCACACAGGGCGCACTACCAGTTGCCGCCCTTTCTCTCCTAGGACGCCCGTTCGGGGCCTCGTTACGGTGATTCGATTGTGCACCTGTGGGTATCATCACGGGAGTTGAATTCGGTTTGCAGGGCTCAAATAGACTTCTTGGTACACTGGGTCCACCTAACCCCTCATCTTGAACATGGAATTCGCCATTATTCACGTCTCCAGAACTTTTCCCCGAAACGAGGCGCTCGCCACATACTCCTTGGCTCTGACTGCCGCGGTGGTGCTCTCTTTGGAAGTCATGAACGTAGTTTTCAAGCCTCCAACACCACGACTGCTCGTAAGCTGAAGACCCTGAAGAAGTAAACGGGTCGGAATGAGACTGTGGAGGTGAGACGTGCAAGACAGACCTGTTCCCATTCTCTTCCCTAGAGACCGATCCCCCCCTCAAGGCATTATCCTCAACTTCGTGTTTTTCTATCAACGAGGGAGTAGTGGCGGGGGGGGCCCTGTCAAACTCACGCTTGTCTTGTCTTCCCAACCCCTTGGAAGAGAACAATTGAGTACGTTGAGGATCATTCTTCTCGTGTTGGTGAGCACTCAAGCCAGAGCGCAGACGCAGCGACGTAGAGGAGTGACTTAAATCCCGCGCGACGACGCGGAAATCCCGCTCAATTAGCGGGACTGTCCGTTGTGTAAGCAGCGCATAGCGCGTCAAGCTCTTGTCGTAGTAGTAAATTGATTCAGGGTCCCACATCGGCAAGTGCTCACGAACCAGATCCTTCAAAAATTTGCAAAGCGCATGATAATAATCGTGTCGAGGTGAATGATGGGCAAACTGTGGCCTGGACGCAAGACCAAAGTCCCCTTCGATGTTGCTGTTATAATTGTTCGAAGTGGGCAATGTACTTTTTGTGGAAAGATATAGAAACATGTCGGGTGGTGTGCACTCGATCGTCTGAACTACAGACACATCCTTTGTGGTGGTGAGTCCCTCAGAACTATTGTTGTTATTAGAAACACGAACACCATTCATAGCCATCGAATCACGAAAAGGGATTTCACTGGCAACAACATGCACGTTCCACTTACACGGCATTCGCTCTGTAGGACTCCCCTCAGCCTCGCCATGGACCGCTGAAAATTCAAAAAGCATGGGTGACGGTCTAACGGGAACCTGAGAATGCCATTTAAAGGGAGTGGTGGTGCCGGAAGAGGTCGCGGCAAGTGGAGTCGGACCGACACCCTTCAAATCCCCTTCCCCTTCAACACCACTACGGTTAAAACTTCTCCCCCCTACACCGGGCGAAGTGGTTTTGGAGGCCATTGTCTGAGTCTTGGGGGCCGTGGATTGAATCGAGGACTGGACGCACATGGAGGAGGAATGGGACGACGACGATGCTACCATCGGTGTGCTCGAAAGAGCCTCCTGATTATAATGTCGACTTCGAACCCTTTCGTCCTTCGAAACGCTCCGATTGTGCCCTCCGGGGGTGTCCCCCCGCGTTCGGTCTGATTCCTCCAAAACAATCGATTGGGTGGGGCCCCAGGGCGCCGGGTCACGGCCCGGGAAGTCTGAGAAACCCCTGCCAGAACTCGTCGTGTGGGCCGCCGT